AAGTCCTCAATCTCTTTTTCTGCAGCACCAGTTATAAACAGGAATCCTCTATACTGAGTTTTCATTTATAACATGTGGATATGGTATATTTACTATAACCACAATCATGAAAGAACAGGAAGTGATGTAGATCACTTTCTATTCATCCATAATTGAGGATATAGTAAATAGGTCCTCAACTATTTAAGATCACTCAGCGATCAGTGTTTGTACATTGCTCTGCTTCCTGACAGCTGTCACAGGAGGCTGAGCGAGCGGTGTGGGAGGAGAGCTCAGCCTCCTGTGATAGCGCTGGCTGTCTCCGCCCACACACAGCTCTGCAGATCTGTGACAGGAGGCTGAGCGGTGCGGGGAGGAGAGATGCAGGCCGCTCACATTGCTCTCCTCCCGCAGCGCTCGGCAGCCTGTGACATTTCCTCTCACAGAGCAGCGCCCAGTGGGGAGGAAAGAAAGCACGGATGCACCACTATATCGGCAGAAATATGGCACTTTGGGAATTTGCCAAAAGTGCCATTTTCTGGTGATTTTGTTTCGGCAGATAATATATCGGTGCATCCCTATTAAATATGTTACACAAAAAATTTTGATGGCAGGTGGGAAAATGGCTGGGACTGAACCAGCATTTGGCTTTCATCACTACCAAAAGTCAGGTTTCTGCCCTTTTTTTAATCTTGTTTCAGAAACCATTGGCCTTTCCCTTCTGGGATCTGAATCATTGCTGTCTCTGCCTGTGTTTGCTTGATCAGGGCAGGGATTTCCTTTTAAAAACAATAGCAAATGTAAATAAAAAGTATTAAACATTTTGTAAATAATAAAATGTCTAAATATATTGTATATACATGCCTCAAACAGAACACAACTTCTAGTCTTTCACAGCAAAATTTCACGACTTCCTATTTCCACACTGCCTATGGCCATGTTTAAGGAAGATTTTAAGAAGGGTGGCCAGCCTATGGCCAAAGGATTCTATGGTTTAACTTTTTTTTTTATATTTTCTTTTATTGCTGCTTGCCCATTTTCCCTGGCTATAAATTTCCCCCCAGTTTGCTGCTGTCTTCACTTCAGGGGCTGGCCACAAATGATGCCTGCAGCTGGGCTTGCCCACTGTGGTTTAAAAAAAAATCTTCTTTCAGAGTTTAGAGGATTGGAGGCACATTGGTCATCAGAGGGGATCCTGTCACCATCAGGAAATGAGGCGAAGTGTAATGGTCCCGGGATCGTTTCCACGAGCCGGCTGCGTTCCAGAGTGGAACGCATCGGCCGTGGACGTAACAGGCCGCCTCCTCCCCCTGGGCGCGTACTGCTATGCGTTCCAGGGTGGAACGCAGAAGTGAGGCCACGCCGCGAGGCTCCTCTTCCGTATTCCACCAGTATATAAGAGGCCTCTGAACCCATGGACGGCGTTCCACTATTGGTTCATGGCCCAACACCCCAGGAGCTACTCAGCATCACCAGCAACCAGCCTATTCCCGGACCTCTCACCACCAACCTTTGGAGGCATTCCCAGGAGTCCTAAGGATCAGCAGAACTAAGTGGTTTCACTCCCCTCAACCGCAAGTACTTGCTTTAGCTTTACTGATACTCTGTTGGGAGTTGTTACACTGCCACCTGGTGGATTCTTTGCATATCTTCTCCATAATTTGCCTATGCTCTATTACTATCAGTGCATAATTGGATTGCTATTGCTGAGTTTGTTCTTACTATCTAAAGACTGTTTAGTTAACAACCGCTCCCTCATTTGCATACCACTCCTGTGATGATATTAGGAATATGGAGTAATATTCCTCATACATAGTGTACCTTAGCCTCTTGTTATTTTGCTGCGGTAAATGATTTCTAAATCCCAAACTCTCCGTTTGTGATTGAGAGTGCCGCCTGGGATTTTAGCCTGACACCGCATTTTCAAACCCTATTGGTTATAACTGCAGCTGAGATCCACCGCACCTCCCTGAAGTACGGTACATGACACAAAGAGGTTGCTACACAGCACTTCCTCCTCCACATTGTTAGCACCCCAACCCTCATCTTCACAGTCAGCACTACCAATGCTCCTCCTCAACCGCAAGCACCTCAAACCCCTCCTTTTCATATTCCTCCTCTGCCTCGTGTTGCTTCATTGCTTTCCACAAGCAAACTAATTGTAAATGATGGATGGCCTTCTGGGATATATATTGCAGGCTGGGCACATGTCCACTCAGGACTTTGCAACACAGTGGACCTAGGACTAAAAACAGAACTATACTCGCAGATAATACAAGCCCCCCTGCTCCTGCTACCTGGTTGCCCGCTCTGTCTCCGTGCAGCCTTCTGATCCTGGCCACTGGAAGGACACCCTGCCTCCTGCAGAGCCCGCAATGAGGCATGTACAGATCATCCAGGGCTGAAGGGATGTCGGGGATGTCCTTTTTGATAAATCATCGTGCGTCACTGAAACACATTCAGCTCTGCTCCAGCCATCACCGATGTTTTATCAAACAGGACATCCCCGGTATCCCTTTAGACGGGCATGTTCTATGCCCATCTGTGGATATTCTTCAGACCGTTGTTGAACACCGGTGCCCGGAAGCACGTGCCCCCATCTGCCCCCCTCTCACTATGCCACTGCCAGGACACTCTGGTGGGGTTTGAACCCCCCTATCCCGCCCCCTTATCTACGCCCCTGTTCCTGTATACATAAGGGTAACGTCCTTCTAAGCAAGTAAAACTTAATTCCTCAAGATCTCAGTGCTTCATCTAAACACATACCCAAAAGTTGACACGTTCACCAAGCAGAGATTTCAACTTGGGAAAACAGTATATAGGAAAATGGTGTGTCCAGTAAAAAAGAACAAAGCAATCTGACTTGCACTTCAGGGCTTTCCACAGGCAGAGAACAGTATATCATAAAACAATCATATGGGTTCAGTCTGATCCTGAAATGTAGATCATGCAGCAGGTTGTTACCAACAGAATGGGATTGTCTGCAAACTATATGAAAAAAGGCAAAGAACAGGGAGCAACGACCTTGAGCTTTAAACACAGATATATTTTTAACACAAATAAAATGTACTCACAAGAAATGAGGAGTAAATGCTTCCATCTAGAGAAGATGACATCCAGCAACCCTCTGTGGCCAGTGGCAGCGCTGCTCGTGAACAGGGAACTGCATCCCACTTATCTTTTTAATTAGACCTAAAGGCAGCAATATATTAGTTGAAGCGGTATGAAACCACTTGTCTAAAATGTCAATAAAGTATCTCTATAATATATAATATACAGTATATAAAATGCATGGATTTTGCAGATGTGTCTGTTTTCATCCCTTCCTTAGTACCAGCTCAGTACATGATACCAATGAGGGGTGGAAAGACAGATGAGTAGAGCAAAGTACATGATGAGTAGCAAGGGGCACAACTGACAACATAAGCTTAAAAATAATTATTTCCTCATGCAACATTACCTTCGGATTCTCAGAAGCCATGCACAGTGCAGACAGTAAATCTTACTCAGCAACTAAATGAGTTCTCCATCCCTCTTTATCCCAGGATCAGCATGGGAACTCGAGATTCTGTGATTCTGAAGGGGTAACCTTCCTCTTCGGCTCTTCTTTCAACACAGGGGAAGATGGAGCTTCCATTTTTTCCTCTTACCCTGAGCGAAGCAACGGCCACTGCATGTCTGGAGTGCTTCTCCAAGACTTCCCAGATTTAAACGGGCCAGTTAAGAGACAGGGAGGTGGACATAGGAATGCAGGTGATACTCCATAAATCTGGGTGAGTTGACAGCTCTGACAAAGAAAAATTTTCAGTGGCAAAACTATATCTGGAACCTCTCCTCCATTGCCCACCACGGATGCTATTGCAGAGGTTGTGCCTATATACATTACCCATATTTCCCTATTTTGTTCATATTTTTATCTTTCTTTAATTTTTTTTTTTTATAACCAGAATTTCTGAATTCATCAGCAAGTAGCCAGAATAAGGAATAAAAATTCAAGCTTTTGGATATGTACCTGGCAGTTCATGGTTACATAGTTTGTTGAAGCAAACAAACCTCAATAGAAATCTTTCAATATTAACACAACCATTATTTATTTAAACAGATTCTGATTGTCTCTAAACAGAGGGCATGAATATGCCACAGCTATAGATATTTACAGGAAATACTATGCTACACAAATACATTCCTCCAGTTTATAATTAGGCTAATGTACTTACCTATGAAACCCAATTATAATTGATTTTGCATGTCATTTAAACCTACATATTACTCAACATGCAATTAACCATTTGTGCCCTCTTTATCCAGAGCCTCTCCCACTTTGACCATGAAGAAGATGTGGAAACACAAGTGACTGAAGATGTGTTTTCAATGCAGAGGGAAGCATGGGAATTGTTTGAACAGTTTGAAAGAAAATTCTGCTCCGTGCATTCCACTGCCATTCTGTACAGAGAGAGAATCGTTGAATCCTTTCAGCAGCTTCATCAACATCTTTTAAAGAAGGAAGAAGTGCAACTGGCCAAAATCGCAGAGAAAAAACAAAAAGCCATAAAGGATTTACAGATTAGAGAATCTTTGATTTCAGGCCTGTGTTCCTCCATTACGAAATTTATTTTCCTTCTGGAAAATGAAGAGGCAACATTTTTAGACACTGAAGTGTTGAATAGATTTAGGGCAGAGCTAAAGGATCTGTCCAAGTGTGAAGTTGCATTACATGGCCATGCATCCCCTATCAACACACAGGTGTGGAGAGGGATAAGGCATTTTGTAAAGCCACTGCAGAGATCATTACAGTTTGACCCACAGAGTGCTCATACTAACCTTATCTTCTCTAAAAATCTCAAGCAAGTAAGGTTCTCGCCCTTTGCTCAACCTCTGAAAAGCTCCAACTCTTTTGATCCAGGGCTTTATGTCTTGGGAGTTCCTGGTTTTCATTCTGGTCAGCACTACTGGGAAGTGGATGTTGGCCATAAAAGCAACTGGATTGTTGGAGTTGTGAAAGAGTCAGTACCAAGAAAGGGATCTCAAAACCTGGATCCAGCTAAGGGTTTTTGGGTGTTAAATAAACAAGGAGACAACGTCTACGTTGGCTGTGGGCTGTCATGTCCAAAGTCTTTGCGTTCTCCCCATAGAATTGGGGTGTTTATTGACCTTTTAGATGGCTACTTGGCTTTCTACGATGTAGATACGAATAGTGTAATCTTTGAAATCACAGAATGCAATTTTGTTGGGAACCTACTTCCATTTTTCTGCCCAGGAGTCCCAGCAAAGGAGGAAGATTTGGGGCCCTTGACTTTGCTTAACTAACTGCCCAATGAAGTAAAGGAAGTTGTATAAATGAATGATACATTTTGTTATGTATATATAGCCAGGTTTATAGGTGTTATTGTCATTATTGGAAATTGCTGGATATACATGTAAAAGGTAAAATACAAATACAGCACTCAAGATACTCCAGATCTCAAGTAATTGATGTGCTACAGTCATGGCCAAAAATATTGGCATCCCTGCATTTCTGTCAGATAATGCACCACTTCACGCAGAAAATTGTTGCAATTACAAATGTTTAGGCATTCTATTGGTATGACACAAAAGTTGAGGAAAAAAAAAGCCAAACCCCACACATTCCACGAAAAACTCCAAAAATGGACGGGGCAAAATTATTGGCACCCTCAATTAATATTTGGTAGCACATCCCTTCAGATTTCATATTGACATGCACTCAGTCAAGACATTAGCTTTACCAAAAAGCTGTAATTTTGTTTTCGTCTGTCCACAGCACATTCTCCCAAAAGAATATTGGCTATCTGAGGTAAGTTTTGGCAAACTCCAATCTAGCTTTTTGTTAAGTTTCTGTGTCAGCAATGGGGTTCTCCTGGGTCTCCTACCATAACGTCCCTTTTCATTCAGATGGTGACATGTAGTGCAAGCTAATAGTAAATAAAAGTAAATCACCGGCACACGCTTGAAGGGTTTTTAAAGTATTGATGGCAACCGGGGATGTTGCGGCATCGACAACAGGTAGATCCTTACACACATTAGCCTTTGAAAAAAGAAGAGTTCTTGTTTACCTTTTTTTTGCACTTCATACTAATAGAATTCTTCTGTGTTGATGTGGGTGTGCCTATCTTTTTGAATTTTAGCGGGAATTACGTCATGGGCTGTCTGTTTGCACCTGGATTGATGTGTATTTATACCTGCATGTTCACCTATGCATTGTGTCACTGTCGCTCTGATGAAGGATCCCTGTGCGGACCGGAAACGTTAGCACCGTATGACAGTATGTGACATTGGGTATTGAATAAACATATCAATACTTTAAAAACCCTTCAAGTGTGTGCCAGTGATTTACTTTTATTTACTATTAGTGTTTTGCACGGCGCCATCCGTGTTGTCACCTGGGCACCACATATACCTTGTGGTTTTGAGACCGTGGCAGTGCGAATATGATTTGGACTTTGATGTAGTGCAAGCTGACACAGTTGTACCCTGTGCCTCAAGGTCAGCTTGAATTTGTCTGGAGGTTGATTGAGGGTCTTTATCCACCATTCGAACAATCCTTTGTTGCAATTTTTGATGAATTGTTCTCCGTCCACGTCCAGGGAGATTAGCTACAGTGCCATGGGCTGTAAACCTCTTGACAATGTTGTGCACAGTGGACACAGGAACATTAAGATCTCTGGAGATGGACTTGTAACCTTGACATTGCCCATGCTTTTCCACAATTTTTGTTCTCAAATCCTCAGACAATGATTTGCTGCTCTTTCTCTTCTGCATGCTCCGTGTGGCACACAGAGACACACAAAAGAAAGGTTGAGTCAATTTTTCACCATTTTAACGGGTTGCCAGTGTTATTTCTATATTGTCAGCACCTGTTAATTGATACCGGTGAGTTTAATTACAAATTACAGGAGCATCAAAAACTTTTTTTTTTAATGCAATTATTTCTTGCAATTTGGAGAAGGTGCCAATAATTTTGTCCAGTCCATTTTTGGAGTTTTGCATGGGATGTGTCAGATTTGGCTTTTTTTCCCCCTCAACTTTTTTGTGTCATACCATTACAAACAAAAGGAATAAACATGAGAATGCCTAAACATTTGTAATTGCAACAATTTTCTGCGCAAAGTGGTGCATTATCTGACAGAAATGCAGGGGTGCCAATATTTGTAAGCAAGACTGTATATATTACTACCCCCAATCCAAACGCAACCTATAAAATATTAATATGTACAAAAATATATATATCTACAACATGCGCATAATGTGCAAACTTGATATGCAAAAATGTGCAAAAAAACTAATTATACTAAATTTATATAGCACAGTAAAGCATTCTTAGAGCAGAAGGTATTCACGGTTTATTTTGTACCATATCCCAAAACTTAAAGGATTATTCCTCATTTCAGGAATTAGAACCATGAAAATCATTTTTTTATACCCCAAATAGCCAACTGCATAGCCAGAACTGTTGCTGTATACTACAAATAAGGCATAGTTCCCAAATGTTCCTCATTTGGAGAGACTGTCCCTCTTTTGCAACCAAATTGTTGCTTTATCCTCCTCAGTTGTCCCTCTTTTTGGTCTAATGAGAAGATCTCTGCAAGGGTAAACTGCTCGTTTTTATCTAGAGCGATGGTAAGCCCCACAGTTACCTCATGTCCTATACACGGTGTATAGGACATGATAACTCACGGGACCTTAGACCACTGCAGCAAAGGGGGAGAGAGACTGCAAGGACCGGTCAGCCAGCCGGCTCAGAGGATCGGGTGAGTAACTTTTTTTATTTTAGTTCCTAGATGAAAACGAGCAGTTAACCCTTGCAATGTTTTTAATAAGTTCTCACCCTTTTGTCTGATTTAACAATGTGGTAGGGTCTATCCAGCATTGATTTAGAATAACATTTTTTAAAGAATCGGTCATACATTTCTTTTCCTTCAAGCTTTTATTCATTTGCACAAATTCTGCATAATATATCCTGTGCCAGAGGTACGCCTCTAATGGTGTGCATGGGGTGTCCTGAATCTGCCCATAATAATTACCTGAAATTCAACTTTGCCTTGCATACATCTTGAAGTGACACCCAAAAAGGATATTGCTATTTCCTCACTACATCCACTAAAATATCATTTATTTACCGTCATTATTATTTGGAAAAGATAAGAAGGCAGAAATATCTAACAGAGGTTCAGTACTGATAAATATTGGTCAGCAATATAGAGGGGGAAAAACATATTGAAGGGAATTCATCAACATTGGAGCAGACAAAATCTGAAGCAGCTGTGCATGGTAAACAATCAGCTTCTCTCTTCAGTTTGTTCAGTTAAGATTTGAAAATGAAAGAGAGAAGAAGCTGATTGGTTGCCATGCACAGCTGCTCCAGATTTTGTCTGCTCCAGTGTTAATAATTTCCCATCTATGTGCTCGTAAAATGAGGTACTACCTCCAAAAATGCCAGACCACCACCCCATATAAAGGTTCAGCAGAGAGGGAAAAATGTAGCACCCATAGCTGTCCTGTACTTCTGGAGGTAGAACACCTCATCTAATTCAAAATCCCCTAGAAAATTGTGAGTGTGCAAAAACATCGATAACAAATTATTTATTTGTCTCAGATAGGGATGTTCAGATACCAAGTACCATACTCAATACAAGTACAAGTTGTAGCTACTTTTCTAGCTACAAGACTAGAGAAAAATTCAAAAGTTAGGAGGCAGCTGTCATTTGTAAGGAGCATACAGAGCTCCTGGGATTTGTGCACCCCTGTTTAAATGTATTAT